CATTGCTAACTTTCTGTGTATTTTTTCCATACTGGGAAGGAAAATCAAGGCCTCACAATCAGTAGGCAAGCCAACCACTGAGCTGTATCCATGGCTCTATTTGCATACATTGGGAAATTAATCAGCATTAATATCCAAGAATGCTGACTCACATAGATATGTGTTGATATTTGAAAAAGAATTTGAGATACACATGATCAAGTCAGGTGGTGTGTGCTATTTATGTTTATTTATGCTGTAAATGTTGAAATAGAAAAATTAGTGTAAAGCAACATGAAGGTCATGAGCTGCCTGGGGATAGGGTGCAGGAGGAAAGCAGCAGGAGGGAGGGATGGCAGAGGAGCCCCAGGAAACACTGCAGGATGACACGTGTGTTCCCTGCTCTGTCCGTGTGTGCATGTGGAAGAGCACTTGAGTGTTAATACTTCTCAGGTGCACACTTCATAGCTGGGCATTTTATGTGTTCTATCCAATGAAGCTATCATGGATAAACTATCTCTAAATATAGATAAAGAGTGAGCGAGTTTATGACAGTTGAAAATGAGAGATTCACGGACAGGCATCCACATGAACACTGGCTCTGTTTCCTCTCAGCAAACAGCAAAACTCAGCAAAGTCACACTTGTGCTCAGCAAAGAAAGAGGGGAACAGCCACATCACCAGGTGCCCCTCTCTGTCCAGGACCTGGAACAGGAAGCAGTTCGTTGACAACTTCGGAGAGCCTAGGACCAGATAGTATGGAGAACATTTACAGAGCATCACCTCTGCTATAGAAGAGGAAACTGTGTCCCACATTTTCATAATTTTACTTGAATTTTACTTTCATAATTTTCCAAGCACAAAAATTTAATAGAAAGATGGATGCTATGTGTACATGACAAATAAAAGTAGATGAAGAGACAAAGTCAATACATTATCTCATAATATGGAGAACATTTACAGAGCATCACCTCTGCTATAGAAGAGGAAACTGTGTCCCACATTTTCATAATTTTACTTGAATTTTACTTTCATAATTTTCCAAGCACAAAAATTTAATAGAAAGATGGATGCTATGTGTACATGACAAATAAAAGTAGATGAAGAGACAAAGTCAATACATTATCTCATAATGCGTTTTCCTATTACGATAAATGAATTCATTGGTACCAAACTGTCCCAGCACACTCTCCCTGGATGTGGGCACTGCCCTCTCTGAGTTATCCATCCCCAGTGCGGTCTATATAGCAGGAGGTCATGCAAATAGGGCCTCGCTGTGCTGTTAAAAAAGAGACCAGCCCTGACCCTGCAGCTCTGCAGAGAGCCCAGCCCTGGGTGCCCAGATCCTCCTACCACTTGGTGATCAGGATTGAACACAGGCAGCGCAACATGGACCTTACCATGTGTTGGGTTTTCCTGTTTGTAATTTTGAAAGGTAAATTACTTAGAGCAAAAGATACTGAGGGCGTGAGTGTAAACAGTGGACGTGTGTGACAGTTTCCTGAGCAAGATGTCTCTGTGTTTGCAGGTGTCCAGGCTGAGGAGCAGCTGGTGGAGTCTGGGGGAGGCTTGGTGCCACCTGGGGGGTCCCTGAAACTCTCCTGTTTGGCTTCGGGATTCACCTTCAGTAGCTACTGGATGGGCTGGGTCCGCCAGGCTCCAGGGAAGGGGCTGGAGTGGATCTCAGCCATCAATTATGACGGTGGTAGCACATACTACGCGGACTCTGTAAAGGGCCGATTCACCACCTCCAGAGAAAACGGCAAGAACACGCTGTATCTGGAAATGAGCAGCCTGAGAACCGAGGACACGGCCGTGTATTACTGTGCAAGAGACACAGTGAGGGGACCTCTTTGTGCGCCCAGACACAAACCTCCCTGAAGTGGCGCGCTAGTCCAGCAGGCGTCGCTGTGGACCATGCAGAACCAGTCAGGGCCCCAGCAGCAGGTGCAGAGAAGGCAGCAGAGGGGTGAGGGCTTCCTGTTGGCCTCTGGGGTTTCCCTTCAGTATTAACATCACACGACCTGAACAAACCTTGAAATGCATGAGCTGCAATGAAGTATCCAAGTATAAGTGAACATTCCGTTACATTTATTGAAGTATGGAGTTTCACCTCATATATCTAACTTGCACTTGATGGCTAAACCCTGGTCCCTGGTGTGATGACCTCTAACACGGGCAAACACGATCGCAAGTAACTTGGAAACTTTGTCAACTGCATTTTCTTTTCAGTGTCAACTCATCATCATAAAAAATTGTATCTGCTAATTTATTCTCAAGTGTGAGGAATTGACTCATACAAGAATACATGATACAGGTTAAGGAATGAAGTCCTTCCCAACCCAATTGACGGAGTCTGAAAACACCCAGCTCTCTCTTCTATCCTTGCCCACCTCAGGATGTCCGGTCCTCAGGCTCAGCCCCAGCACCTTGTGGAGTCCCGTGCTCAGGGAGGAGGGAAGAGAGAAACTGGGCTGGACTCAGGGCAGAGTCCAGGGGCCTTGCTGTGCTCTTTCTATCCGAGGGGGCAGAGCAGAGGTTGGGACTACGTTTTTCCTTTGGACTTTAGAAATTGTAACAATTTTAAAACAGACTGTAACACTTCTCCCTCTAAATCCCCCCTCTCTCTGTCTCTCTCCTCTTTCTTTCTCATCTCTCATCACTAGGATCAATCTATATATCAGTAAAAGGTGAAGAATACATGAGGGAAAGTGCTCAAGTACGATGACATTCATTTTTCCTAAGAAGATTCTCATATTTCTGTGTTCATACATTTTCTATATTCTGTCTCACTTTTGTCTCAGTTAATTCTGCATTTCCATCACACATATATTCTCAAATTTTCCTAAAATGATCAAATATGCTTATATAATCAATAATATCTTACTTACAGCTATACTTTTCTGTGAAGAAAATTTTTAGTGAACATGAGTTCATTTCCACACCCAATCCCCACACACGCACATTTTAGTTTTTTTGTGGTGACCCCCAGTCTCTTGATCCTATTCCCATTTCAGAGATATTTGACAACTCACTATCATGTATATAATATGCTATTTATTATGAGTTTTTCACATTAAAGGGTTGTATTAAGACTTGTTTGCAGTACATAATATTTACTTCCACTTTAGAAAGTAGGTGTTTGTGCTTATCAAATTTTCAGTACATAATATTTACTTCCACTTTAGAGAGTAGGTGCTTGTGCTTATCACATCTTGATTCGTGTTATTCCCCTTACCCTCCCTTCCTTCCTCCATATTGGGTTTCTGATGGTAACACCCTCACACACACTCTGTACATCTCTGTATGTATAGAATGGATCAGAATGATGCCAAGATTCTACTTTAATAATGAGGAGATGGAATATAAAATCAACAACAGGAAATAATATAAAACCAAGGGGAAAATTCAGTAAACACAAGGCTGTGTCCAGGAAGAGATCCACATAACTGCCTGGCCTTTACCTCTCTTTATTAACAAAAATGAAATTACACAATCTAAATTAAAAACGGAACATGTGTTCCATGTCTCTACCAAAAACTCTTGGGAAATATTACAAAAATGGAAAAATGATTAAACACACTGAACTCAAACGGATGTGTGAAGAAACCTAAAATTCACAATGATTTAGATGGTACATGTCCTTTACAGCTAGTGCTACAAAGGAATACTCAGTAATTTATGTTACTGCTCTAATTGCCCCCGGCTTGTCTGGAGGGCTACATTGGATGAGGTTCTCCAGAGCAATAGAGATAAACCAGACACATACTGACAGCACACAGAAAGAGATATTTCCTCGGGAATTGGATCACAGGACCATGGAGGCTGGAAAGTCCCAGCTCTGCCATGTGGGCTGCAGGTGGAGACCAGGGAGCTGGAGGTGCAGGCACAGTTGCAGGCTGTCCGCTTGGGAATCCCTGCAGATTGGTGACACCGGTGGTTTGGGCTGTGCAGGCTCTCCTGGTTAATGAACCTCACACACACGATGGAGGGGAACCTGCTGTTCTCAGAATTCATTCACTCAAGTGTTGATCAAGTCCTAAAAACTCCACAAGGAGACATATGATCCTCACAGAGGACCAACAGGCTGACCTACAAACTCCATTAACAAAGCCCATCCTGTAACTTTTGAGCACAGCCCTGCAATCTGGTATGACACAAC